GTGATTTTCTACCCAATAGCATAACCATTCTGGAATCAGGAACGAGATGTCGTATTAGTTATTTAACGATAATATGTGTATGTTTATGGCTAGTGTATTGCTATGTATGCTCTCTTAAATATTCATGGATGTGATGTATACTTAATACATGTTGTTGTTGAAATGTATTATGTGATGGATAGTTGTATGTGCATTTTGATTCTGTTTGATTTAGGTTGAACATTTGGATCAATTTGCCTGTGTGGTTTGATGTGCTTGATTGCATGATATATGCTTGAATCGAAGTAGGTCTGCGAATAGATGGTAAATCACTTATGACTACGGCTAATGTTGTGTGATCTTAAGTTCGTGCATTGCTATATGATCTAGGATACCTTACTGTGTGATATGGGTATGTCATACACACCTGAGCTACCATTGTGATGCGCTTGTGTGGGTCCGTGAGAGGCGTTTCCACCAGCAGTTAATAACATTGCGTGCTTGGTACGGTGGGGAGGAAAATTTCCACATAGGTAATCCTTGGTTTTAACTCGCCTCTAGTGGTGCCAAGTAGGCTACACCACTAAGCTTTCTCCCAAGGGGCTCGTGTTGTCAAGATGGATTTTTTTGTACCTAATATTGGCCATGTGTTGATTTGGCTCACACGTGCATATGGATGATAGATGGGGAGGCGGCCCTATGTAAGCAATGTCACCTTGGAGGAATAACTCGTCGCAGATGGCAATCCAATTTGGAATGATCTGAATCATTATGCAGAGTGTTGGTACAAGTCTCTTCATGCGATGCACGGGAGTAACTCACCGAGGGTGTGAATATGTAGTCTATTTAGTAGGTAGAACATACTTCTAGATTCCTCGTACGCGGGTACGGGTCTGCATATTATGGTCATTGTGTCGGGCATTATTCTGATTGTTTGTGGCCTCATGTCTGTTATGTTGTCTTGTTACCTCATTGGTTGTTACAGGACTTCTAATGGTGGTATTACCCTGTTGCGTACTTGCACCTAGCCATGAGTAAACCATGGATTCGCGGTGAATTCATTTGATTGCATGCATTCTGTAAAATTGAGTGAGACTGGGATAGGGAGACTCGCTGAGATTTAGTAATATCACCCTATTCCAATTATCATTTTTAAGGTTGTTTGAGGCAGGATCAAGGCAAGGCTAAGATGGCCTAGACTTGCGATGGTATTTCTTGGCGATGTCTCATTTCTTTTGTATTTTTTTGTTTAGTACCTTTGGATTATGATAAGTACTTTTGGGATATGTAACTTTTAGCCATGACAATTTTGGAATTTTTAATTTTTTACTTATGCTTTTTCCAATTTTGCAGCTTATGTGTGACTTTGCGTACCATTTTAATACCATATGCATAAATCCTAGGAAATGTATGTGTGGGATATTACAGTTGGTATCAGAGCAGGTTAATTCTCGACTTTGCCATGAAACATCATAAGTCAACTCAATTTTGCCTCATATATATAATTGTCGACATGATTCCTTATGTTGTACTTATGGCATTAAGCTTGATCAACTTAATTCTATGTGTAGGACAAACAGGAAGATAGTTGATGAATGCAGAGGTCTCAAAAGGTCCAAGACTAGGAACGTGGAACCTGAGGCTAAAACTGAGAATGCAGGCGTACCTTGGTTGCGGATGATGCGACAAATGCAGCGGCAGAATCAAATGATGATGTAGATGATTTAGGGTATGTAAGGGAAATAACCAACCGCTCCTGCTCCTACTCCTCAAGCTCCAGTAGGTCCAAATTTTTGTGCCTTCTTCAGGATGAAACCATCAGAGTTCTTGGGTGGCTTAGATCCAGTGGATGCTCGTTATTGGTTATATGGTATGGAGAGAGTATTCCAGTCTGTTTAGTGAACCAAAGAGGAGAAAGTGATGTTTTATGCTCAGATGTTGAAAGGCCCAACTAGTAGGTGGTGGGATATTGCATCTACCTAGTTCACTTCTCAAATGATTCTGAAAGATTGGCAACACTTCAAGATAGATTTCTTGGAGAAGTATTATCCTAATAGCTTGTGTGATCATAAGGAGCACGAGTTTCAGTTTTTCAAACAAGGAAACATGTCGGTGTCTGAATATGTTGAAAAGTTTGAAGACATGGCTGCCTACTGTCAACAAGATGTTTATGCACCTGATCAGCTGTGAAGATTAACCAATTTCTATTTGGACTAAATGGATGAGAAGGAACATAACATGTCGGTACGCAAGGATCAAGGTAAATCGGGGCAGTATATGAAACCCTTAAACTCTCCATCCACAAGGAAGCAAACCTATGAAGTTCGTTCATCAAAACCTCCTCAGTGTAACAAGTGCAAGAAAAGGCATACTGGAGATTGTAGGGAGGACCCAAAGAAGTGTTACAAGTGTGGATTGGCATATCACTTTGTGAAGGATTTCCCTACTCCAGATGGTCGCGAGAAAACTGCAGGTCCTGTTTACACCTTGGACGCTAGGAAGGCCCAAGGAAACACAAATCTTGTTACCGGTACATGTTATGTTAATAATCAACCTTTGTTTATGTTAGTGGATTATGGAGAAACACATTTTTTTCATTTTAATTTGTGTGTGAGATGACTTAGTTTTGAAGCAAGTCTTCTTCCGAGTCCTATGACTATCTCGTCTGCTACAGATGATATAGTAGAGGCTCATAAAGTTTGCAAGGATTTTTCTGTTAATTTCAATGGGCAAAGTTTCTTGATTGATCTTATCTATCTGCCGCTCAAGAAGATCGATGTGATATTGGGAAGGGACTGTTTGTCGGCTAACTCAATGTACATTGGTTGTAAAGAGAAGGCTATCTTCATTCTAACTGAGGAGACCACTCGTATCGATGCTATTGGAAATATAATTGAATATACAATTAACATGGACAATTACCTTTTTTCTCAAGAAAAATCATGTCTTTACGTACCCAATACGAAACCCGAAAACAAGAAGAGTGTGTCGGAGATTCCTGTGGTGTGTGAATTTCCTGATATCTTTCCGGAGGATGTCACTTCTCGTCTACCTGAAAGGGAAGTTGAATTCTCTATTGACCTTGTTCCAGGAACCGCTCTGATTTCTATCGCTTCGTACCGTCGCTCTGATTTCTATCGCTTCGTACCGAATGTCTCATGCTGGTGTAATACCCCAAATTTGTCCTACCCTTTCACTTTTATATGGCTTATGCATTTGAAAATTCTCATTTCAGTTGCATACCTTTCATTAGGCCATCTAACATAACATTGCATTCAGTATAGCGCCTGAGGTTCAAAATTCATTGGTTGTGCAATATTTGGGTTTCATAGTGACTGAGATGTATATATCTAATAAAGCTGATTTCGTCTGATTTCTTCTTCATGTAATGAGCTGTTGAATTAGGGTTTTTATTCATGTTTATTGTGGATCAACTTTTTATCAATGGAGGATTGGTTAGGGTTTTCATGTCAGATCTCACACATCTTCAGGGATTCCCCAAGAGCATTCATTTTGTTTTAAGATCAGGATATCGTGTGGTTTGAATAGATAAGAGTGTGAGTCAGGGTACAAGACACGATTTACGCATTTATCATCATTCTTTCAAATACTTATTACTTATGATACAAGATAAAATGGAGATCCTCGGTTTCTTACAAGACTTAATAGGTCAAGATCCCATCATGGATTGAGGTACTTGATTAATTACAGAACATGTCAACATCAGATCATATCTTGTGTTAAGCCATCATAAGAAATGAAGACTCACTTGAATTTGAGTAAGAGAGTTTGGAAATTTGAATGAAAGAAAAGAGGAAAAGACTTCATTTTGAATTCAAGTTGCTTATGTTACAAGTAATATTCAAGTATTGGGTTCAAGGATCAAGGTCCATTCAAAGAGGCAATATGGAGTATACTTTGCGTATTATAGAGTCCATGAACAAATCCCATTCAAGACCTACTTCAAGTACAAATTGAGGGAACGGGCAAAAGAAAAAAATGCAATTTAGAGAGATATTTTGAAGAAATTATCATTTTCATTCAAATTTACAAGGACATGAGATGGAAAGGATATACTCGTTAATTCAAGTGAGAAATTCCCTTTCAAAATTCTCAAGCCAGTACAAAATTACACATTCAAGTGCAACTACATCACCTTGGTTATATTACCAAGTTTTCTAGTGATTTACAACGAAACAAGTTACAAGAGAAAATCACAAGAAATTCCAAATACAGTATAGCATTCACACAAAGGTTCACATGTTGTTTTACTATACTAAAACCTATTCTATTCCATGACAAACTTCAAGCTTCATTTTCCTTCTCTGAGCATCTCAATCAAACTCTTACTTGATAACATTACACAATCTCTTTTCCAAGCATTGTACCATGCAAATTGAACCATGAACTTGCATCAACCATAAATCCATACATAGAGATTACTATTGCATTGGAACAGCCACCATCTACCATCTACCAAGCATCATTGAGCTTAATGCCAAGTCTCTCCATTTTGCCTCAAGCTTCCTCTTCATGAACTTTGTCTGCAACTATTTTCTTTATCACACTGTCTTCATATGCTTTAATACATGTGTAAGCTGTTTCAAACCGGACCATTCAACGACAATACAGGAAAATGGAAGCAATAGAAAACGGCCTATAAGAATCATTGCATCAAACAATATAAGTTCAGTTCAAGGCAGGTTGTAATTCACTCATGCGCATCAGTTCACATAAAATAAATCAGTACAAAGCCTGAAACAGCTTCACATTAATATTCAACTCTAAATTGCCCTGAACTTCATGTATCCATATCCAAAACAGAAATCAGTTACCACGAAATTGACCACATAACTAACCTTTGTTAAATAATAATTTCCAAAAGTTTTTTAGACTAATCTAACAGAATCTTCAAACAGAATTTCGACAACCTATTAACAGAACTTCTCAACAGAAAACATAAATATTAACACAGAAGCATTCATCTGTCCACAAAAATCAGAGCCAATACAAGACTTACTTCAATTCAAAGAATCAGTCAAAAGAAATTGATTCCTGCACATCACATAAACAAAATCTGGTCTCAGTCATAGTACAAACAGCCTGCAAAATAATGTCAGCAACATCTGGAAATAATAAAGAAAAAATATCAACAGGGAAGGATCAGAGGATTAAGTCAGAAATCACCAGCTCATGTAATTATTAGAAAACAGAATTCCTAACTACTTCTAACTACCTAAAACAGAAAAAACTAACTAACAGTTTCCATTTAAGTAACCTTCAACTGTTTTTCTAAATAGGGCTAACTAACTGCTGACAGTAGTATTAACAGAATACCTAACTGCTAACTGATCTAATAACTGACATTTTCACTCTCAAATCATACCATCGATTTCCTAACAAACTGGTCTTAATCCAATGACTCGGATCTTCCCTCTGTAACTGTAACCTGCATCTCCATCAACCTATATAAACCACTTAACCTCCATCTTCATCCCTCTCTCTGCCATTTTTCCACAAATCTCAGAAACACTCATGCACTCTCTTCATTCTCCACCTTCACCCCTGAACTTCCTTCTTTATCCTTTCTCTGCTCACTCTCTCTTACGCACCTTCACCATCACCACCTTCATCTTCTTGGAACCTCCATCACCACCTTCATCATTTCAACACAACTATTACACACTTCAACCTTCATCATATTTTGATATCATCTTCAATCACCATCATCGGTTCTTCCTGAGGCTTCATCAACAACCACACCTTCTTCATCATCATTAACACTGCATCAACAACATAATCACAATTCAATTTTCGGTCATCACATATGCACAATACATCTACTCCACAAAACCACAACAACAATCACATACTGAATAAAGAAAAGAGAAAAAAAAGATATACGAATAATGCTTTGAGAGTTGTAGTTTGTTTACCTGGATTCCACATCAAGGCTTTCTAGATTTCTTGCGTATTCCTCGCTGTCGAAGAGCCACCGGAGTTATCCGGTAGGTAAGTGATCTTCCTTTCTTCATAGTCTATCTTCACTGTGCGAATTATATACGTTTGTTTGTGTTGAAATCGATTGAATCTGTTAGAACACTATAAATCGAAATTGAAGAGAGTATGTGGTAGTGATGAGCGTTGACGACCGCGAGTTGTTAAGTACTGAGCAAACTGAAGCGCAAGAAAGAAGAAGCAAATGACACTGTGATCACAATTGAGAACAAAATGGAACTGAGACTGAGAGGATGAGAAGCAGACGAATCGATCGGAGAAAAGGTGAGGTGGAGGCGCTGATTCGTGAGACGGTAGCTCTGTGTGATATTCGATCGGAGAAGAAGAACAGTCTACAACACTGTTTATTTGAGAAGAGGAACGCGTTTACTCGTGGAAGTCTGAAAGTCGCATTTCTAAACCTAATACAAGTTGTAAAACGCATGAGTTTCAACCTTTTGTTTTTACTTGTTTGCTTTTTTTATTGTTAATAATAAAACAATAAAACTGAAATTGAAAATGGAGTTGGATTGGTGATGTTGGTTGAGCTAAATGAGTTTCTCCTGGGCTTTGCTTCGAGCACACCCCCTCGGGCCCGTTTACACTATGTTGTTTGGCATAAATTGCAATGCTGAACAACAACAACTTCATGGACTCAATCAAATGGGCCTAGCGTCCAGACTCCAATACACCTCTGGATTTCAACATACACCCCATGTTATTCTTATTTCCTTCATAAGATTTAGGACTTCTTTTTCCTCTTAATTTTTTCTAATTTTTATTATGATAAAATAATTATGAAATCAATAAAACTTGTTAGAACTTCTTAGTTGATTTTAGAAATTAATTCTTTAATTTTCGGTAGAATTTTCCCCACATAAAAAACTAATAAAAAAATATTTCTTTTTCTTTTAGTTTTTATCCATATTTTTATATCGTTGTGCCTCGTTATTTTTGACGCGTTTCTTCATTGTGCAAGGTACATTTTGGTGCTTTCGATCATGTAACATGATAAGTCGTTATGTGATCGAAGTATATGGCTTATGCTCGCTTCCGATGCAACACGCCTTATTTCTCATCGTCCTGAGAAATTCATATCATATTATATATTATCCCGATGCATATCATTTCTGACTTTGTTTATTTCTTGGTGAAGCTTGCTCTACGCGTACTCCTGGCTTCTCCATTGCTTTCGTGCGCTTTCGACGATTTGCTTGCTTTTGGTAGTCCCGCTACTGCTTTTAAATATTCCCCAATTTATCGCATTTCTTTACTACTTCTTAGATATCTTGAGAAGTAGGAACTTTACTGCTTTCTAATGCCATAAGAAGTAGGAATAGAGATGAATGACGGGGGTCTCCATTGCTGATCATGTCAGAAACCCCTCTAGTTTATTTAAAAACCTGTTTAGAGCAATTCCGCATTATGTGCATTTTGTATGCTATTTGTGCTTGTTTAAAACCCTACCTTTGAAGTAGGTATTTTGCAGGTGTGTTTACATTTGTGCCCACATATGTTACAGATGATAAGTCCTCAAAAGGAGGCGAGCAGAAAAGGTTCACAATCAACCCACTCATTTCGTCTGTGTCATCCTTAGCTCGTGGCGCACCACGATGCTTCAGAGTTATGCACCTCTCGTTATCGAATCGTCAAGTGGAAAAGGGTTTCACAATCAAAACCCCACACTTTGTCAAGAGTTCGCATTGGCTGATGCTGACACTCCGTGATTGTTCATATTGCCTTCTGTCACCTACCTCGATCTTCCATATCTTGGTTAGGTGTTCAGTCACTTTGGATATCACATTTTTGTTTTACATCATATTCCCGCTTGTTTGCTTCGGGTAATTCGCTCCCCTTAGCTAAAGCATTTATCTTCTTTTATATTTCACTTCAGCCATTTTTTCTCGGGTGATACACTCCCCTTGGCTAGAGCATTTCACTTCTTTTCTTTGCCATTTTATGTGTGTGCTCTTTCTAGCTTCTTTGTTCATCTGCTTTCTATATCATGTTTCCTTAGGATGTGCTTGTTCCTTTCGGATGCAAGTTAGACCTTAGGTTACAAACCATGCATGCTAACATTAGGTAGATGTTTCCCTATTGTTAACCCTAACCTTAGGACCACCATTGTATGATAATATTAGGATTAGAAATAGGCTAGTCTCCCGTAGACTCTTTTCTTCCCCTTTTGCATTTGAATTTAAAATTAAACCTTTGTTATTTTCAAGGTAAAAAAACACAAACCAATCAAACGTGGCATCTTTCCTTGAGGGCATAACTCAAAACCATTTCCAGGTAAGGACATGTTAATTTACTTCTGTCCCAATGCGTGATTCTCTAAAGGTCGAGCTGCGGCAGAAGGCATAATTAACATTGTACATAAAAAACACAAAACAAATAAAAACATGTGAGCCAAACTACGGTAACTCTTATTCCTAAAAAAGAATACGTAGGAATTAGGGTAGGGCCCAAGTTAGCACAACTTTATTTTCCCTACATTATTTTCTCTTTTCTTTTGCATGCATTCTCCCTCAGTAATAAGCAATAAATGTAGATTAAACACACCCATAAAATAGATAACAAGAGTGAATACCATAGAGTACTATGGGCGTGTGGGGTGCTAATACCTTTCCCTCGCATAACAGACTCCCTTACCCAGTCTCTCGATCGCAAGACCGTGACTTCTCCCTTCTCAGTTTTTCTCGATGTTTACCTTTCCCTTCATGTGGGATAAAAGACGTTCGACGGCGACTTCATTTTTTGATGACTTTCAGTCGCTTGTTTCAGCTGGGTTGAGGGAATTAAAGATCCAGTTAGGAGATTTATTGGCAAAGCACTTTGTTCTGTAGAGTGTTTCACCATGGGGAGCTCCTGTTTTATTGGTAAAGAAGAAGGACGGTAGTATGCCTTTGTGAATTGACTATCGCCAGTTGAATAAAGTATCCATCAAGAACAAGTATCCCTTACCATGGATTGATGACCTCTTGGATCAATTGAAAGGAGCCCGCATGTTCTCAAAGATTGATCTAAGGTTTGGATATCATCAGATGCGGGTTAAGAATTCAAATGTGTCGAAGACTACGTTTAGGACGCGATATGGTCATTATGAATTCTTGGTTATGCCATTTGGAGTGACCAATGCTTCTGCCATTTTATGGATTACATGAACCATGTGTTTCAACCATATTTGGACCGATTCATGGAAATCTTTATAGATGACATTCTGATTTACTCTCGGACTATGGAAGAGCTTATGGAACATTTGAGAATTGTATTGTCTGTTTTGAGAGACAAGAAGTTGTTTGCAAAGTTTATCAAGTGCGAGTTCTGGATGTCAGAAGTCGAGTTACTTGGACATGTTATTTCTGGTGGCGATGTAGCTTTAGACCCATCTAAGGTGGAAGTTGTGATAAATTGGGAACGACCTAAGAATGCATCTGAAGTCTGTATTTTCCTAGGTTTAGTAGGTTACTATCTTAGGTTCTTTATGGGATTTTCCAAATTGGCACTACCTTTTACAAGATTTACAAGGAAGGAAATTTCTTACGATTGGAATTTTGAAAGTGAGAGAAGTTTCTATAAGTTGAAGGAGAAGCTAGCTACTGCCCGGGTATTAGTGATTCTAGATCTGAGAAGGTCATATGAAGTCTTCTGTGATGCTTCTAAGAAAGTATTAGGTGGTGTTTTGATGCAAGATGGTAAGATTATAACATATGTGTCTATACAGTTAAGATCGCATGAGGAGAATTATCCTAGTCATGACCTTGAACTTGTTGCAATTGTCTTTGGGCTTAAGGTGTGGCGACATTACTTTTATGAAGTCCACTTTGATATGTTTAGTGATCATAAGAGCTTAAAGTACCTCTTTGATCAGAAAGAGATAAACATGCGTCAGAGAAGGTGGATGGAATATCTTAAGGATTATGACTTTGATTTGAGGTATCATCCCGGAAAAGCTAATAAAGTGGTTGATGCTCTGAGTAGGAAAGAGATTCGAGTTGCAGAGCTAATGGTGTTGGAGTTTGATCTTTTAGAGAAATCAAGAACCTTGACTTACAATTTGAGTGGGCACCAACCGGTGTATTGATCAGTAATCTGAATATGGAAAATATATTGTGGGAAAGAATCTGTCAGGTACAGTGGAATGATGTAGAGTTGCAATCTAAGGAAATTCTTCCAGATTTCTTCCAAGCATCTGATGAAGTCATTCTATTTAGACAAAGGGTGTGTGTACCCAATGATGCAGTGCTAAATAGAATTATTCAAGAAGAAGCCCACAAGAGTAAATTTACCATTCATCCCAGATCGACCAAGATGTACCTAGACTTGAAGAAAATTTTTTGGTGGCTCGATATGAAAAGGGATGTTTCTAGTTATGTGAAGCAATTGGTGATTTGTCAACAAGTGAAAATAGAGCACCAGAGGCCCAGTGGTACGTTGCAACCCTTAAACAGTCTATATGAAAGTGGGATAGTGTTGTACCCCAAAATTTGCCCTCCCTTTTTCACAAACTTCAGGGTTTTCCCTGATCTTTCAAGATTGGCCCAAGAATCAGTCAAACAGACTTTTCTTTGACAGTAAATCCAGAATTAGGGTTTCCACTGATTTTTGTTGAGATTGGCTTAGGAATTAATCAAGCAGACGTTTCTTTGACAATAATCCAGGATTAGGGTTTGCGCACGCATTTCTCAGAAGAAATTGAATCCACAGTATTTCAATTGACTGTTACATTATTTTTACGCTTGTTCAAGATTGTTGTTTGTTTCTCAAAACCTAAACATCTGGGATAGGAGCTGGGGCTTTTGATTGAAACTTTGAGGCATTGGTTTGATCAGTGAAGTGAAAGGTGTGTGTGGAATGCTGGTTTATTTAACTGTACAAAGCTTATGATTAATTGGAGTGCCAGGCGTATTGTGATTAATGCGAGATTGCGAGACGACAAAGTTTGTTGATTTATTTATTTCATCTGGATTAAAGTTATTGGGATACATTTCCAGTTATTTTAATTCAAGAGATTTAAATAATTAAATAGACAGTGCAAAAGAAAGAAGGAAATATTTGACAGTAAAGAATTCTTATTTGACAAAGACTTTTTATTTATTTCAAATATTGTTACAAATGTTATTCGAATATTGTAAATTTATTTACAGTGTTTACAATAATATTTATTACAATAAATGAAAAGAAAATAAATCTAAAGCCTAAGTTTCTTGAAATCTTCCATCTTCTATTGTTTCTTCTATTATTCAACTGATAATTACCTGCAAAGAACAAAAGAAAAAGAAATCAGTGCAGATAAATTGAAAAGCATTTTTAAGCAGATAAATAAAAGATCATCATTAAAGCTTGTTGGCCGGAATCAAATTGTTTTTGGTTCATTATGTTTTACTTGTCCTCTTTGCAAATCACAAAGAAGATTTCTCTTCTTGGTTCATAAAGGGGAAAGTA